ATATATATATGAATTCAACTGCGCTCTCTCTGTGTTGCATCGTCCTGATTGTACCTGAAAGATCACCACGCTTTATTTCCTCCAATCCAAGCAGTAATGATGCTGCTGCGAATTGCAAGGCAAAACGTACTCTTACTCTTTCCTTTCTCTTTTTTCATGTAGATAATTAACTTATAATTTCCATTTCGTATAAATAAAGAGTTCATAAATGTTTGGTTTTCCTTTTATATAGATTTTGGGACACTCCATGCAAAGGATTTTTCCTCCTGCAACGTCGGGATTGATGAGAGGTTACTCCTTTGCTGCATATGAGGTGATTTTTTTTTCAAGCATTTCAATATTTTAAAGTAACTGAAGCCGAAATCTGTCTTCCCCATTACCTGTTTGATTAAATTTCAGAATAAGTTTACATTATTTTTACTATGTAGTTCATCAATCTGTATCTTGTCGTGTTAGGTTTCCATTTTTTTTTTCAGTTAGAATTTTGTTTGTGATCTTCAAGTTTCCTTCTCTGACACTTTGCCAAGGTTTATAACTTTTTGAGACCCTTTTTTTTTTTTCTGTGTCTGGTTTTATGTGAAAAATGTTTGAATGTCATGCTTTTGCTTCGTAATTTTTAGTATTTGAACAATTCTTTGTTCAATCAATCCAATTTCTATAAAAGGTAACACATACATACCCAAATGGATATATGTATGTTTTGTGTATATATAATTGTTTCTATATAGTTTTAAAAATTTCACCAGTCTCTCCAAAACCCTAAGCAAACCCCTTTCTCTTGGCCCCCTTCCAAAAATGAAAAAAAAAAAAAAGCACCTCAGCTAGGCCATCTGTTTTGCTCATCTTCTGTCATTCATTCCTTTTACCTTCAATGTATAGGCCATTTCAAAAGGACAAGGAAGAGAAGCCCACCAGATTGTGAAGGTAAGTTCTTTTGTGTTTCTATGTTGTCATTGAGTTATTGTAAGGTTTTTGCAAATTTGTAGCATTCATTTTTAGTAAGTTTGTCATATGTCTGTTAGTTGGGACTAGTGGTATAATCAATCCAAGTTGACTCAACCTAGTAAAAAAGCTTGAACTCGACCCATAAACTCAAAATTGGCTCACATTTGATAGAGTTTTATTCTTCAAACTTGATCTTGACTGCAAAAGTAAGTTGAGCTATTCAATTAGCCTTGATTATCATTACTTATAAAATCTAGCTAATATACTAGAGAGAACAGAGAGAAATTGTTTAATCTTTACAAAAATCAAGAGCTCAATTACATTCATGAGCCACTCAAGCTTTGTATTAAATACTTGAATTAGTTCGCATGACTGATTGAGCTTGAGCTCAATTTGATAGTAACTACATTGAACTCTGGGTAAATTTTAAGTTGAACCGAAGTAGCTCACCATAGACTTGACTTCATAGTAAGGATGAGTTTCGACTGGAGGTTTTTTCATCTTCAATTTTTTTTTTTTATCAAAAATGACTTTCAGTTATGTATCGTTTGATAAATTGAAAAAATTCAAATATTGAACAATTAAGTCCTGAAGTTGTGTTCTTCAAAAAAAAAAGTCTTGAAGTTGTTATGTGAAAGTGTGTTATTCAAAATTAAAATATTGAATCCACTTTTGTTAGGCTTTTGCAATAGTAATATATGATTTTATAGTGATTATACAACTAATGAGATTTTACACAATGGAAGCTGGCATAGATCTTTTAGTAACACATCAGGATAATGTAGTCTAATAGTAAAATAACATTGACTGAATGAAGTAAGTTGGTTTAAACTACTTAATATTTTTAAAATTTTTAACTGAAAGTATTATATGAAGTGGTCCGTAGAATGAGTAACCTAGCACTTTGAAAGAAATTAAATAATTTGAAATTTTTAATTTTCAATGAATTGGAATATCTCATCTCACTACTTTGTTATTCATTGTCCATCTGCTTTCTACATGCTGCTTTATTTTCAGATGAGTTTTTCAACTTTTTTGTGTTGTTGAATTCATTTTATTTGATTGCCTTAACTGATATGGGAATCATTTAAGGATCAAGGTGGTAACCAAGCTGAGAATCTGTCTAGCAAACCAAACATTGGAGGCATACTGAAGCATCCGATTGGGCAGAATGTTTCAAGAAAGGATAAAATTAAATTTCTTGTAACCACAGTAAGTTTAAAAGCCTATCATCTTTCTTTTTCCTCTTGGCTTTAATTTTGCATGATAAATTTGGTTGTTAACTCTAGTCCCATTTGCTGACCATGTGATTGAGGTAGGTATCATTGTTGCGCACTTCTTTTGTCAAACTTAGATAACTTGGTAAAATAACTCAATCGATGCAGCTTCTTGATCTTAAAGACAGTAAAGAAGCTGTCTATGGTTCTCTTGATGCGTGGGTTGCTTGGGAGCAGAACTTTCCTATTGGGCCACTAAAAAATGTAATCCTGGCTCTTGAGAAGGAGCATCAGTGGCATAGAGTTGTTCAGGTATCAGCAATTAGTCTCTCTCCACTTTCGCATTTCAATCAGCTTCCCCTCTATCTCTATGTCTCTGGATGATATATATTTTCTTTGTATCACTTGTTATGACATAGTGACTTGAACTGTTTTTACTTGTGAAAAACTTATATATCAAGTTAAGAAAGTAGATCTCATCCAGGGTACTTGGGGTTCTTGAATCAATAAGTGAACTAATCTTTGGAGGAGTATAGAAAGCACATTACCTTGGCAGCTGGTGCCTTATGTTTCTCGGTGAAAGTTAGGGCAAGGCTTAGAAACATTGGTCACAACAGCTTGCAAGAAGAATTATGTCCAAATTGATTGTTTGCTTGTTATTGAGACTTGATTGGCATTTTGACAGGAACAGATGGGTCTACCCACTGTAACATGTTTAATTTTTTGGTCTCACTTTTATCAGAATAATTTTGATGAGGACACATCATCCTATTATTTTTCCTTCCCCACTATTTTTTTGGGTACATATGGGAGGTACAAGGGGGAGTGGGGATTCGAACCTTGAACCTCAATCGTTTTAAGCAGGTAACAACCGCTAGGCCAAGCCTGAGTTGTTGCATTCCCCACTTTACAAGAACGTTTTTCAGTTAGTTGCTTTTGTTTGTTTTACATATTATTATTTTTTTCTTGTAAGAGGAAAGGTAAATGTAAAATTTGCAAATTGAATATTTAGAGTACATCCTGCTTCGATATTCATGAATCATGTCAAATCTCTGGATATGAATTCAACATTATGTGTAACCCTTCACCTAATCCGGGAATCCTGAGCTCATTCATTATTTTTAATTTATCAGGTTTCTTTCTGGTTTGAGTTGTGGGTCTTTGTATTTCCCCTCCTAGGTTATTAAGTGGATGCTAAGCAAGGGTCAAGGAAACACAATGGGAACCTATGTGCAGTTAATACGAGCTTTGGATATGGATAATAGAGCAGACGAAGCACATCAGTTTTGGTTGAAGAAAGTTAGTGCAGATCTACATTCAGTGCCTTGGCAGTTATGCAGACAGATGATATCAGTATACTATCGGAACAACATGCTGGAGAATCTTGTAAAGGTATGTCTTTGGTTTTTTAACTGTCAGTTATATGCATTTTAAGCAGTTGGTACATGATACAAATTGATAAATCTAATCTTATTCATTAGTTAATCATCCATTATGCATGCATTTCATATTCCTGATCTTGGGTAAATAATGTCTTCCCTACTTTATTTATAGTGTTTAATTTGTGCTATTAGTTAAAAAATGCTAAAAATATCGAGTTTATATTATAGGAGCTGTCAGAGTATCTTTATTCTTTTTACTTGCAGCGGTAGAATGAAAATCAAACTAAACTGAGAAAATCTTGAAAATAAAAAAACTTAGCCAGAAAGGTATAGGGTTAATAAATTTGTAACAGTTATCTATAGGTATGAGCATAAGAACCTCTACACATTTAGGAACCAATAGCCGGAAAGGCCTAAATAGGTAAGAGCCTGTGCAAGGGGCTGATATCCTTCCTTCAGGTGAGATATACCTTGACCCAAGCCACAGACTGGGTCCAGGGATGCCTGTGCATATATGAAGCCAGTTTTGAGCAAATTATATTTAAGCCATTACCACCACAAACTGGAGGTCATGATACTTGGCCAACCATGTCTAATTACTAGGGTTACCACCCTACAATGGTGGCAAATATGTCATTTGCAAACAGTGCATAATTAGATATAGAAGTATCTGAACTTGTGAAAAATAAGGAAAAGAAAGTTGAATTAGTTTTGTACAGATGTGGAGCATGCTGGATGGTTCTCAAGACTATGGACAGCCCTGTTGGGCAAAAGAAAGTTCCAACTGAGTTGGCTTTGCTTGTCTAACAACTGTCCTTTTTTCTACTCCTAACTTGAGCATGTCTTGCGCCGGTGTTAATCCATTCACATGTCGTAATTGCAAAGGGTGAGAAATGTGTCTACTTTCCTGGTCTTAAATGAAAGTTCTTTTTAATACTGTGCCCCTGTGGGGGATTGTGTTGCACGCAAGAAACGAGAAAGAGGTGGAGAGGCAAGAGAGGAGGGGAGGGGAATCCTTAGAGATTTCAGGTAGTGTTGGCAGGTGAGATGATATGGCAGTATCTAAGAATTAATTGACTGCAGTGATGTCATGATGATGAAATTTTAGGGAGAAAAAGTTTCAGTTTATTGAGATAGTGTAAGATATAAGTGAGCCAAAAATCAATGAGAATTTCCTCAATAAAATTTATTGTGGAATCAGAGTAGACATCATGTCACAAATAGCCAACTAGGAAAATGCACCAAAATAGAATATTAATTCGGTGGCAAGTGGAAAGTTCAATTGAACAAGGCTGCCCCTATGGTAGCAGCCTGCTGTGCACCATCTCTAGCCAACAGTCATATCAGAGAACTGCAACCCATGCTTAGCGCATTTAGGATGTGTAGGACCTGCACAACACAAAGGTATTTCTGCCACTCACTTATCACGTCTCCATTTACTCTGTTTTCTGCCCCAACACCTTTGACATTTCCTGGAATGTCATCATGCCACAAAGAACTAAAACCATGGATGAAAGGTGCCACAGCATGCTGCCACTTGGTCTGAGCAACCCTTGCTGCTATTTAAATAATCATGATAAATGGTTAAGTGGGCTCCTGAAGAACATCTGTACAGAGTAACAACTATACAGGTGATAATCATAATCTATATGATGCGTCTTCTTATTGAAAGGATCAGAATTTGACATTTT